AGAGGGAGAGAGAGAGAGAGGCACACTCCATGGTCAACCTATAGACAATATGGCGTAACTGTTAGTGGAGAATGGACAGGCTTGATTGACTTCAAAATCAGATTTGTTGTGCGCTCTCACATTGCAAATTGAAATAAAAACGAAACGTGACATTTGGCTGTGGCAACAGGCACCTCCGCAGGCCTTTAATATATATATATATATATACACACACACGCACCCACTTACACTCAGAAACACACATTGAAGTGTCATGTAAAATGTCGAGCAATATGGAAGCGAGAGCAGTTAAAGCTGATTGCGGCAATGGCATTGGCAATGGCAATGGCAATGGCAATGGCAATGGCAATGGCATTGGCAATGGCAAATGAAACCCATTTCACAGCCACCCTAGAGCCATATTTTCCATTCTGATCCCTTTCTGGTATTTTTCTTCTTTTATTTTTTTTATTGTTGGGGTTGCGGGTGCCAAACAATCAAATAAAGTTTTGCGTTTTTACCCCTTTTTTTTTGCCGGCTATTGTGGCTCTGGTATATATTTTATTGTCAGAATCAATAGATGTCAGCATTTAACAGTTGCCAATGCCTGCTGGCGTTCAACGCAACCCCGCACCCCTGCATCCCCCGCTCTCTGCATTCCCGCTAACAGACTGGAGACTGTCAGTTGCTTTGGGCTTTATTAGATTTTCTTGCTCGTTTGCTTTGTGGACCAGGTGAGTGGCAGTAGAATATATATCTGTATATCTGTTGTAAGCCTATATTGAATGTAGTTTGCTGTCTATCTTCACTATCTCGAGCATGTCTTGATAACATTTATTCTCACTCACACACACACACGCATACACACACTGACACACTTACTCACACATACACAGACACAGACATATAAATAATATTTATATATATGTTTATTATGATTGAAGCGCTGTTGCGCAGCAATCAAACGTGTAATATGTAATCATTTTAAAATAAATTATTCTTTTTCTCTTCTACTCCCTCCCCCCCCAACCACACACACACACACACACACATACACACAAAACCACGATATGTACAACAAACAAACAAACAACAACAACTCAAACATTTAATACACCCAACCAATCCAATATATACTTAATGTACTTGTGTGTATCTGTGTCTATGAAAAAAAAAACAACTTAACATATTAAATGACAAAAAAAAATATTAATAAAATACTCACTGTACACAAAATACTAAAAATGAGGCAGCATTCGGTAAGTGAAATCTCATTAACTAATTAACTAATTAAATCCTTAATTCATTTGTGGCCCTTTCAACTTTTGTGTTCTATGTATATGTACCATTATTATATTATATGTGACCACAAGTCGTGTGATTAATGTCTCACTCAGTAATTGCAGACTCTTAGCGAAATAAATGCGGTCAGTTTGCCGCCAAACTATTTCTGTGTTTGTGTCTGAATCTGAATCTGAAAGCAACACATTCAATACTGATTTAGCATAATTTGAGTGGAATCATGCATCAAGGCACAGATCTTGTCTGGGTCATCACAAAAGGCTCTTGAATTAATTTTATAGTTAGTGGAATTATCTGTCGAGATTTTAGCAGTACTTTCATTTCACAATAAAAACAGTTGAAATCCAAGAAATAACATTTGATTACTCTTAAACTGTCACTTGGCTTTATTTGACCTGATTTTGGAAATAGTTTTGAGTGTTACCATCATTTACAACTGAGAATTCATGCAATCCTATTTTGAGATACATTTCTAGAGAGTTTAATCATGTGTTGGCTACAAAATGTGGGCCATCAGCTGCTGGATGGCCGCAGACAGACACAGATTAATGCGACTGCCCCCGTTGCTCCAAGTTCAGAGACTGTTCAGCATGAAGTTCAAAGTGTGGCAGCGACACAAAAGTGTGGCAAAATACAAAAGTCTGTTTTGCCCTTTCTTTGTTGCTTTTTGCTGGCCTAGCTAGTTAATGGACAGCCGCCGGCGCTAAAGCGACTTTTACTTTGGTTGGCTACCTGCCTGCTCCTGGAATGCTATTATTTTGTCATGTCGACTCTGTGTTCTGAGTCTATGAAGAAGTGCTGGGCGGGACGCAGGAGGGGATATGTGGCCCATGCGCATAATTCATAAAAAAAAACGTCTCTACGCCTCTTAAGTAAATAGCACAGGAATGGAATAGAATTATGCGTGCCAGTCGCCTTAAAGTGTGTGCACACAAATTTCTTTATGGCAGGACAATTTATGCGCTGAGCGTGTAAAGAATTTTTGTGCTGCCTTCGCTGCCACTTGCCACACGTCTCTGGCGTCTAATTGCGCGTGGGTGCAGCAGCTCTTTGGCCAAAAACGTTGGCACAGCTGCTGTCTGCCATAATTAAAGCCACAGCATCAGTAGCAGCCCAACAAAAGTTCAAGTTCACAACGTTGCCAGGCTCAACCTTGCCTTGCTAAACTAACAAAAATACACACACACACACACACACACACACACAGTGTGTAGTGCCCACCTCAAGTGGCGAGTGCATCGTGTGCACTGTGCAAAGGTCCACAATAATCTCAGCTCATAATTCACGTGAGCGCTCGCTTTAAGGATATTTATTTTGGGCCATCAGCTAGGCAGAATTAACAGATAACAAAAATATCATGTATACGTCATGTTGCGCCGAGCTATGCAAATTATTTTCATTATTAAACAGCCGCACGCTCCGCATGCCATCAAATTTAATAAAGCCCTCATGCTGGCTGCTTTCTTCCTTATTTCTTTCTGAATTTAATAAAACGCCTCAAGCAGCTAAAAAACAAAAAACAAAAAACAAAAAATGCAATATAAATGTAAGAAATATTCATAATATGAACGGATTCAGTTGTTTTCACTGTCATAGCACAATAAGTGTAGATTAAATTTCAAAATTTAATTACGATTCTTTTGTTTAAATATCACACACAAAATACGCACATAGATAAATATTTGGGTATGTTGGGAATGCTCTTCCAGTTCAATTTAATGGAAGACAAACACAAATATTTTTCTTTGTCATCATTAAAATTATATATGAACTGAATCCAATCCAGCAATCGATATGCATAAGCGATTGTGGATTGTGTTTCGTCATGCTGAGATCAGACAACCAAAACAATTGTCACGGCTAAACTTAAGTCCTGCCTAAGCTTCAGCTAAGCAGATGAGCGAAGAGTGGAGGAGAGCAGAGCAGAGCAGAGAAAAGAGAGAAAAGAGAAGCGGGAAAAGGTGGCAAGAACAAAGGGCGGCAGCTTAGCGGATTGTGGAGCGAATCATTTGCGTTTGCAAATCGATTTTGAAATTGCGCTTATCAGCAAATATAAATCACGATTTCCGAGTGCAGAATGCCGACATATCTTCTCTCTCTCTCTCTCTCTCTCTCTCTCTCCCTGTTTCGGTGTCTGTGTCTGTCTCCCTCTTTGCTGGCCTGAAGTTGACAATGAAATGGATTTGAGCTGCCTGAACCCGCCTATAATTGTCGACTAAGATGCGAGTAGGGCTCATAAAATGCAGGACAAGACAAGACAAGCCAAGGCAAAGCAAAGCAAATCTGTCCAAGGACCTCCGAGTAGACAAAAGAACGATAAGAACACTTTATGTCATATATATGTCTGTCTGTGTGTGTGTGTATGTGTATGTGTATGTGTGTGGGTATATGTCAAGTGGGCGTAACACTTATGGGTGTGTTCGAGTGTGTGTGGGTGTGTGTGTGTGCTGTGATGTAAAGCTTAAGTTAATAGCGAATATTTACCAATCGATTTTGTTGTGATTGCGAAAACAATTTGAAAATGGCTTTGAGCGATTTTCAAAGAACTCAAGCGGCAAGATGACAAGCATGACCACCCAACCACCCATAGAAATACACACACAGAATACACCACACCACACGCTTGCACACCTATACCTACACAGATAAACCTACACAGATACAACTAGACACATACACCACACACTTGCGCATCTGTGGCAGTGACAAGGCTGTTACATTTACAGTCGCCGTTGCCTTCAATCCTTTTCTATTATTCTCGCTGGCAGTTGCACACAAACAACACACACACACACACATACACCAAAGTGCACTCTCGGAAGTTGCTCCTGCAGCTGCCGCATCCATTTGTCAGCATTCATATGCCTTACAACATTCACATTTGCCAATTCGAGCCGACTGTGCGCTTAACAGCATCCAACTGATTGGCTAGCAGCCAGACAGATTAAAAGCATTGTGTATATATATACATATATCTTTATATATATATATACACTTAGCAAATTAATATACAGTTGCGGTCCAAAAAATAGAAGTGCTGTTTCTCGAAGCGTTTCATAAAAATATGACTAATTTTATGGTGATCAAATCGAGACCCAATGCAATTCGGCATAACAAAAACTGTTTGGTTTCTTATTTGGAAATGTTTTTAAATACTATTATTTTCCAAATACTAAACGTAACTTAATACATACAACACATCATATCTAGTTTTTAGAAATATTATCTTCACTTCAATTATAATAATAAACTTAAATAATGATTTAATAGAAATAAATAAAAAAATTATCAATTTAAGAATTTTAATTTTGTTCATAATGCCAACCTTTATTTTCAGTATTGATTGCCTGTGTTTAAATCAAATTTCATAATTTATGATTTAAACTTGAAGTATTTTTTATTATCATTTGCAATACTATTTTGACCCCACCTGTAATGTATTCGCGTTGTTTGCACAGTACATTTTCGAGGGGCACAAGCATTTTCAAATTTGAAACTTGGCGACTTTTGTACATTTCGTCTTAAGTCAAGTCAATAAGCAGGTTCTTTTCAAACTATGAATTTGAAATTCGAAGAGTAAAATCAACAAATAAAATATCGAAAATAACAAAGCAAACAAGAACAATAAAAAACAATCAAAATGTTTCGAGGACTTTTCGCCGGTACCGATAAAAGTTGTGCGGTTTTCTCGTCTGACGGCCGTGTCTATCAAGTAGAGTATGCCAAATCGGGCCATCAATTTGGAGAACATCACCAGTGTGGGTGTGCGGGGTGCAGAGTGTGCCGTTGTTGCCACCCAGAAGGCGCAAACGGATCAGTTCGTTGTGGGGTCGACAGCCACCCAAATGTTTACCATCAGCAATGAAATTGGTTGTGTGATGACCGGTCGCATTGGCGACTCACGGGCCCAGGTGGCTACGGCCCGCTACGAGGCGCGACTGTTCCAAACTAAATTTAACTTCGAGATGCCAGTAAATGCGTTGTGTGATCGCCTGGCCGACATCATTCAGGCGTACACACAAATCGGTGCGATTCGTCCACTTGCCTGCTCCATGATCCTCATTTCGTGCAATGATGAAGTTGGTCCCTGTGTCTACAAACTGGATCCGGCTGCCAACTATAGCGGTTATCGTGCCTGCGCTACGGGTGCCAGGATGACAGTGGCCCAACGATATTTGGAATGCAACTACATGAATAATATGTGCGAGATGAAGGCCATTAATCTCGCCATTCGTACTTTGAAGGCGGCCACGCCCAATAAACTAAATGCCGATGGCATTGAAATTGGCCTTTTGAGCAAGACACGTCCCACATTTCGCACTCTTGTCCCGGATGAAGTTAAGTTTCATTGTAAATACAATTAAAACATGATGTTGCTGATTGATAAGCATTCAGTGCTTAATGTCTAAAAAATAAATGCGTTTTATTGATCATTGATCATTGATCAATGTCTCGAGTAGCAAGTGGCAACAGCGATATAAATTGATTTGAATTTTGTCAAGCATTTATTTCTTGGTGTTGGAGGCAGATAAAATTTAAAACACTTAATATATTTTATTTATTTCATCCATTTTAATAATAAGCATTTAAAGTTGATCATAAATATTAATTTAAAAAAATATATTAAAGCTGGTACTTAATGAGGGCTAAGGCCGCCGGAAAATAATCCCGACACGCGTCGCTCGATGGCCGCCCGATTTGAGATAATGCGTTTCAGGTTCTCCCTGAACTTTTGGACATGTTCCTGCATATAGATGTTGTCCTTCTGGCGCTGATAGCGAGCCGCAGTCGCTGCCTGCACCGCCCTGTGCAAGCGCATCTCATTGATGGCGTGCAGATAGCGACGACCGCCCCCCTGATTGGGGGCTCTCGAGAGGGTCAGGGGCAGTGTGGATCGACGGCTGAGCATCTGTAGTAATGGTGGTATAATCAAACGATCCGTTGGCCTCACAAATGGCCTATGTAGTTGCTGGAAATTAAATCTATCAGCTGAAAACTGATCCTCAATGATGTCTGCCGGTTGCCAATCTCCTTCCTGCTGCTTGAGTGCAACTTGTTTCATCTCATTGGACAGATGCTTGGGCATCAGCCCATCTCTATCAATTGCATCCGCATCGCAATTGTCCGCATCAACATAGCCATCCTGCTTGAGCAGCAAGCGATTCTTTGATCTGACTGCCTGGTTACGATTTTTGAATTTAGCTTTGTGGCTGTTGTTGTTCTTGTTCTTCTTGAATGACTCCGATGATGGATTGGCTGAGTTGAATGTGAGGGCCACGGATAGTATCTTCAGATCATTGCACAGGGATTTTGTGTTCTCGTTTAGGGTGCGCAATATGCAGGAGATACGCTCTGTAAAGTCCTTGCCATTATCATCAACGTCATCATCATCATCATCATCAGCATCATCAACGTCTTGATCATCAACATTGTCGTCATCGCTGCTGCCATTAACATCCGATGTATTTTCAGCATCATAATGGTCATCACACTTTGGTGTTGTTTGCATCATCTTTTGTTTTCCCTTGTCACTATTGTTGGCACATTGATACAAGTGTTCGCCAAGGGCAACTCTGCTCTGCTCTGAATGTTGCCGTTGATGTTCTGGCTGAAACTTCAGCTTCATCTCGAGCTGGCCCTGTTGTCCAAATGCGCTTAGTCCTCTCCAATCGGGCACAATACAGGAGGCATCCATCTCACGACTTGGCTCAACCGGCAGCAGGGCATCCCTCTCGTTATCCCTCCCGTCCAGTTCCATACCCCATTCCGAACCTGATGATGCCAGACATTGGCAAATGCAAATGCTAAGCAACGCTATTATCAATTGTGTTTCCATGGCGATTGCGACCTCAGTTCGGCTTAGTTCACAATTACAATTGTGAGGCAGAGCACACACAGAACACTCACAACAGTTTTAGTTGAAATCTGTTGTATGTGCTACTAAGCTCAAATCAAAAAACACACGACTAACATTCCCATAAATCGTATAATGCTGTTTATCGCCTTAATAGCTCAGCCTGCTGACAAAACATAGTGCATTGATTACACTTAAGCTATGCCCAAGTCCAATATAATTTGCCTTAAGTCTTCCATCCGAGTTGCACTGCAGTCTAAGACATTAGGGGTATTCTTTAATTGTATTTAATCCCACATTTATATCGTTGCCCTTGGTTTTTATCATCATTGGTGCCCATCTGGACTCTAATTGCTTACAATGAATAACATTCAATCAAATTGTCGGGCTTTAAATGAATGACAGAATAACAGAATGCAAATGCAAAAATCTAACAGCAACAACGATGGACAACATTTTAATGCTGGGTGGTGTTGTTGCTGTTGTTGTTATTGATGTGGTTGTGGTTGTTGTTGTTGTTGTTGTTGTTGTGTTCTTTGTGTTCGTTGTGAGTGCACCTATTTTTAGACAGCGTGTTGCACACAACAAATGCATTTGCCACAAGTCCAACGGCAAAGTCAACGTCGTTTGGCTGTCAACACATCCGGCTACGCCCACAGCGTCCGCATCCGTATCCGTCTCCCACACTCTGGATGGGTGTTTGTTTGTTTGTTTGTTGGTTGGTTGTATGTTCTCTGGCGTTACGACTACTATCACTGAAACCTGGGCATCTTGGTCTTAGTTTGCCATTTTTCACCATTTTTTTTCTTCGTTTCTTTGCTGCTGATGAATTCACAAGACGCAGCATAAGAGCTGCCATCAATCTCCAGTCCCAGACACACACCCACACACACCCACACACACACACACAGACACACACCCACACACACACACACACACACACACAAACACACACAGAGTCAGATACATAATTTACAGTCTCACAATTGTGTCCCGCATTGGCTGATGCTCGAATTTATTCCTTGTTGCACCTTTGGGGAATTTGTGCAGGTTGTGAAAAGTAGCAAAAAATACCATAATAACTGAAATTTGCAACATTTTTCCGCTTGAGACTCTGCCTGCAGTACGAACACAAATGTTTCAGCAACAAGGCCACTCCGTAAAAATACAGAAATACAGAAATATATAGCCGTGAAGGCCAATGCTCGCATAAGTCTATTACCAATTTTGCAACATTTAATCAAGCAGAAAAAGTCACTAAAATCACATAATAAATAAATATCTATATGAGCTTTATGATCTCACACTCTATAAGATCTGCAGAGGTATTTCTAGCTTCCGCTTAAATTAAAATTGTTATAGATTTAACTAAAAACCACCGTAACCAAAAGTGGGATATTAAACCGAAGTTAATTAATGTTCTGGTTCCGGTTCTGGCACATAAAGTGAAAAGATTCGCATAAAAATTATAAATTGGTTAAAAGCTTTTTACGTATTACGTTTGAATAAAAGGCAAAAGTTAATAAGTTAATAAAAAAAATAGGTATTTATATATGTACACTGGAAAAATATGTCTTAGATCCAATACGGTATCTTCGAAACCTATAATATTTGTATCCAACAACTGGTTTCAAGAAAATTTTGAATGTTTCCGTTCCGGTTCTGAATTTCAATCGAATTCCATCTAAAATTAAGACCATAAATCAATGGCTTTCAAGCCAATTTGAAATACTCCAAAAGCAATATATATTTGACTAGAGCAACGCCATCTTTGGAGCACAGCTATCCATCTGAACCTGAACAGCTTTAAGCTGTTCAAGCTTGAAAGTAAGTCTTGAGCTTTAAGGAAGCTCAAATTCAAGCTTGCTGTGGCCGTTCGAAGTGACATACCAAAAGCGCTCTGAAGCTTTCAAGCTTGCAATGCAATCCACAAAAAAGCTCTCAACGGCTTTTGTCGCAATCAAATAAAATACAACTGCCAGGAATATGAACAGCAACAACAGCAACCGCGTGTGTGTGTGAGTGTGTGTGTGTGAGTGTGTGTGTGTGAGTGTGTGTCATTGTCAGCAAAAGCATCCTTAGGAGCACATAAATCATTAGTCTTGTGCAGTTGCACTGCGTTGAGCATACGCCGTGCTGCACCGCAGCACACAATCCAAAAAAGAACTAACAAATTTGGTCCCCTGCTGTGTTAGAAGTGTGCAAAAGCAAGTTGATTGTGCGGCTTGTTGCTGACATAAATGTTCAGCACTTAGTTGCAAACTTGGCAAACTTGGCTGTTGAAAATGTTTTCAATTTCACTTGACGCAGCTGACAAGCCGACGGCAAGAAACTGCTTACAAAGACCAGCTGAGATTATTGAATGCCACCTGGTCACATTCATTCATTCATTTTCTATAGCTTCCATTCAAGATTGGCTCGCTCATTTAGTTCAGTAGAAAAGGTTTTCCGTCTTGCCTTGGTTTTATGCTTGGGGGGGCGGTGGTGGAAGGGCTCGACTCTCCTATGGCAATTGGCAATGCGAACGCGGCGTATGCGCAATGCGAGCATTTTGATCAGCAGCTCGGTTGGCAATCAAATTTTTCAAGCAACAAATCGCTAGCTAAGATCCCACATCTGACATGTGACAGGTGGCACGTGGAACGTAGTACATAGCATGCGGTTATATACGTGGCACGCACACGCACACACACACACACACACACACACACATACATTTGTGGCCAAAAGTTCAGTTTTAGTTTTTTTTCTTTTTTATGTAGCGCGTTTTCTGTTTTGCTCGCCGCATTCTGTGGCGCGTATGCCACGTGATGGCAACTAAAGCTTGCATGCCACACACCCACATACCCACACATCCACACACACAGACACACACACACACACACACTAAAAAGCTCCCCTGCAGATGTTTGCCAAAGCTACCACAAGAGCCTGCTGCTGCTGCTGCTGCTGCTGCTACTGCCGCATGCTGTATGATAACTGGCATGCCACTGGACGTGGCTGAAGGAGCGGCTAGTGGCATGCCACGCCATGCCTTGCCATGCCCTGCGACATGTGCGTTCGTCTGGCGGTCTCTCAGTTCTGCTCACAACGCCAACTGCTGCAGTCGCAGTGCCGCACAGACGCACTTACAAATTCCGGGCGACTGTTACTCCGGACTCCAGATACGGACAAATACGCGAATCGTGTGGTATAATTTCGTCCTCGTCCTCGTTTTTGTTTTTTGTTTTCGTCGGCGTTGGCGATCGGCTGACAATTTGAATTTTTGCGCGCCCATCATTTTGCTGTAAATTAAATTTGGCAATTGATTTCTAATCTGACGCGATTTTTTTATAGTTTTTTTGTGTTGTAAGTGGCACATTAAAAAAAAAAAAATAAAAAAAAAAAACAATGTTAATTTTGTTTATGGTGGAAAAAATGTAAATTACCTAAAATTGAATCACAAAGTTGGCAAAATACAATTAAAATTGAATGAAAAGTAAAAATTGACACAATGCAAAACGAGCAAAG